TTTTTGGAGTTAGCCTGCCAAGTTACATATTCATTAGTGCCTTCACATGGCTTTTGAAACCCTTTTCTATGAAGCTGATGCCTGCAATTCTCTCCCTCCCCTTCACACTCTAAATGTCAATTGGTTTAAGAGTATTACTCACATTTGCATAACAGATTGAAGCTATAAACTTATGATTTGAAAGCTAACAGATTTACAGTCAGTCTTGATTTGTCAGGTTTGTAGATTTACACTAAACTGAACTTACCTTAAATGCCATCCGAATAGTCTCTTCTGTGTTGGCTGGGTTACAAAGAATAGACAAACCAATTACATATTCTCTGAAGTCGATGGTGCCATCTCCATTCTGTAACCAAAATACATATGGCAGTAGTTATAGTTAATATAGCAAATCACTTTAAAAGCTGTTGTATAAATCAACTATACGACATGCACAGTTAGTTTACAACACTAGAGGTATTTGTTCTTCCTGGAAAAAATACTAACAGCTCGCTAAATATATGTAATACTTGGGCTGAAGTAGCAATATACATATTTTCAATAGCTAGACACTGGGTATCAATTTCTATCTTATAAACCCCCAAACAAAAAAGATTTAAAACAACTTACAAGTTTTTCTTTAGTATATGACCTCTGACAAGCCTCTAACAAGAACTGAAATACATCTGTTTAAGGTAACTGTAACAGTTCATGTAGCACTGGCACTTGCTAAAGTTCAGAGACCAATGCAACATCCTAGAACAAACAGGCCAACAGTGAGGCTGTTGCCTTGAGTTAATTCCTCCTAAGAACCTTCAGCAGTAAAATATATGCCAGTGAAAGTACAGCCTGATGATGCAGTAAATCTATGTGGTCTATCTTAAGCCCTTCTTTGAAGCAAATGCATTGCCCTACATGGTGTTTTGAAGCCAATATGTTGTCCTACCTTTTAAGCCAGAAATGCAATGAATTCATTGTAACAGCCTCTCTGATAATTCCAGTTTTGATCTGAACGAACATTTCAGTGTGTTATCTACAAAGCTACATCAGCAAAACATTTGAAGTTTGCTTTGATGGGATTCATGATTAATTCTATGTAAGCTGCATTATATTTGTAGATAGGGAAAATGGCAGATATCCATTAAAATGTATGCTTAAGTCAGTAGTGTTCCTGTGACCATACTGAAAGTTTCTTGAGCATTTTGGGAAACATCCAGTCTGGGGAAGAAGCCATATATAAGCACTAGGTGAAGGGACACAGAATAGTTAATGAAAGCATAGTAGAGATGACTAGTAGCTCATAGTTTGAAACATTCACAATAAGGTCATTCATCAAAAACACTTTAAAAGCTAACAAAAGTGTAAAGCAGAGTTCCTTTTGTGGATAATGTATTGCACATTTCAAGAAGAAAAAGATTTTATAAAAAGTGGACTGCCTAAGTCTCAGGACAGCACAAAACTTTTTCAGCCAAGCGAGAGGGGGTGGTCTCCTCGGTAAATCTGTAGGGAACAGCCAGATCTAGATTCTATTTCTGGCTCTCCTACCAACTTCTAATGCCCACTTGAGCATACCAACCTTACCCTTTTTGTTCTTGGCTTTCTGGTGCTGAATAGTGGAGTATGGAGATTGCCAGTGGAGAGATGCTAAGGCTGCTCTGTAGAGCGCTTTGAAAATCTTGGGTTCTATGAAATACGGATTTCTGTTATTGAATTTAGGTCTTAAGATAGTCCTTGATTAACAAAAAATGTGTAATAATCAATTCAATACTAACTTTTCTTTATCAAGCTATATATTTGACAGGATTTAAAACTGCTAAGATACAATTTTATTTAACCTTCAAAACCAATTCAGGACTGTTTTGCACGGACAACTGTTATTTTCTTTATATTGATGGTCTAACATATATTTTTGAAGACATGCAACCTTTGAACATCTTGTACTTTAAAGGCCTATAAATTTTAAGGAAACTTTTTAGCAAAAATATGAATAGTCTTTAAGTTACTTTTGTGTGTGACTTTTGACAGATTTAATCATTAGAAAAGGACAATGTTCTCTCATAAATGTTATTTTGTTTACAAATCTGTGCTCTCATTGTGCTGCAGAGCTTGACTTTAAATATTTTGGCTACATCACAGTTCTCAAAACAATAACAGATCTAACTTTAAAATGTATCATTACAAACCTAAACTCTTAAAACAACTGAAGCAAAAGTGTAGATAATAATTGTTCAAAGTTCCATGGAGTATTATTTTTGGACAGTTCATATTCTTAACAAAGGGTTGTTTGATGCCATTACAATATTTTTTAAATTTATTTTTAAAGTTAAGAATAAGTATCACAGGAAAAGAGTTGGGAAGTAAACTTTAAATAAAATAGTCTCATTAAAAAACAACTTATGGAATCAGTTAACACAGCTTTGGCTGCACATGGAAAAATGACAAGAGCTAATAAGGGTCGTATTACTTTCATTAAAGTGCTAAAACCCACTAACCAAAACTGAGTGCAATCTGATATGCAGAACTCCAGCCATCTGAGTAGGAAATAAACTTACTATATGTGCAAGATCATGTTGTGACTAGCTCTACTAAACCCCAGGATGCTGGCTAACTTCCAAATGCTCTGGCATTTTGGTTAAGGAGAAATGATAGGGTTGTTACTTGGAAAGAGATGGGAGTTAAACTGAAAATGCAGGAAAACCTTCAGCGCTTGTGTAGCACCCCTGCAAACAAGCACTTGCAATAGTCTTTCTATGCATATCTAGCTGTGCTTGCAGCCTGCGCACCCAAGAATATTTTAAGGAAGCAAAGTAGAACATCAATATTTATTTATTAGTATTTATGTTACAGAAAATAACCAAAACATACTGTAACCTCAACAACCCTTGTTTTCTTTAAGGTAACTAATTTTCTGCTACTATTTTCACTATAGCATGCTATGGTAACTAGGGTTTTGTTGTTGGTTTTTTTATATAATACAGTAAATCTTACACTTTGGGAAACAAAGTTTGCATTGTCATGAACAGTCTCCATTTAGAGTTGCACAATGAGTTTAGGGCTAGATAACCAGTTAGCTTTATGCAGTTGGCAAAGCTCTCTGCAAGACAGATGCAGTCACTAAAGTTTAAAGTTCTACTGCCCCAAAACTTTCTTCTCACTATGTAAAGCAACAGGAAAAATCGCGTGTGTGTGTGTGTGTATGCGTGTGCACTAGTCATTCCTGTTCTGATTGGCTAAGTAAACCCTGAGTCACTTACAGGGCTACCACAGAGAAGTTACAACTGGACCATTTGAGGAGGAACTGCAGATGCACCTCTGATGTTCATATCCAGGCTCATCATCTAAGAGGCTATTGCTGTAACTCTCAAATTTCCACCGCCTGTTGCTACATACAAGTTCAAACTAGTCAGAAAGGGAAATTGTGAAACAAACTTGGTAAGATGGTGCTCACCTAGAGGTATCACACTTTCTCTCGTGCTCAGTTTTCTATTACTCAGAGCCCAAATGCCACTGTGGATAACTGTGCTTTTCCATTGAATAACTGGGAGGGGGGTGAATGCCATTAGGAAGGAATTGACCTCCTTCATCACAATTTGGGCCAATATAAATATTTTTACTGTTTCTGTCACCCAGTTTGGTATTAAACAAAGTGCAGGAGGAAAAAAAGTCTGGTCAAAAGTAAGTTACTTTTTCCTAAGTTGCAAGTAAAAGGCTTCTGCAAGTATACTGGGAGATTTCATCAGTTTGGAAAATACTGTATCTGCCAAGAGCAACTGCAAGATTTAGAAATCACAGCTATGGAAATTTAGAAACAAAACCAAAACACAGTACCCCATTAGTATTCAGATGCCCTGCAGGTATTGTGTGGTATTTCTCAAGTAGTCACTGATGTCTCTCTGGGGAGGGGCAGGGGCACGTGGACTCTGACATCTGAGGACTGCATGTAGGGTGCAGGCTGGGCTACTCCACTCATCCTTTCACATTCCAGTCAGCTAGTACACACCCTAGACAACTTTCTTTTAAAGCAGCAGAGCCCTGCTGAGAAATCTGCCTTGTTACATTGCAATGCTGTTTTCATCAACTGTGTAATCCTTAATTCAAAGAAATGTACCTTTGACGGTTCATGCTACTCCTTTTTCTTTTACTCAAAAATTGACATCTTGGACAGAACTGCATAACTAGCTTGAGTGGGATACTGCACCCTGATAAAATTTAACTCAGCCAGAGGTTGATTTTGGCCAGCTCTCTGCTGTGTGACTGCATTATTACAGCAAGCTTCTCTAAATATAAAGGTAGTATTTTAAGTTGTTTTCATTATAACTATAATAAGGCTTCAAGGAAAGAGAGAAAAGACTAGTTAATTTAATTGTAGGAAGGAGAAAAAGGTTGTAAAAGTAGCCTTATATAAGCCTGCAATTTTGTCCTGGCCAGCAGGTAGAATGGACAATACCGCTCAGGTTTTGCATCAGCAGACAAGCATGAAAAAGCAGAAGTAGGAAGGAAATGAAATATGATTATGTAAATTAATTGATCATTATAGTTATTGCAACTCTCATGTTTTTCCTCTTGTTAGAAATAACTGCACAACTCTCTTCACTAGTGATTGCCTTCATTCAGGCAAGCAGAGCTTTATTCCAGCTTAGTGAATGCTGACAAATGGGAACAGGAACATCACAAAGCAACACCAAACTTACGAGCTTTTTATATAACAGGTATAGTCATATACAAGCCACTTTACGTGAAGAAATAACTAAGCTTTGATCCTTCAACATATTCCTTCACTTCAGAGTCTAGAGATGGTTTTCTGAGACAGACTTATGCAGCTGTCCAACTGACAATTTACACAAACCTTTCAGAAAAGCAGACTAATGCATGCACAAGAAGAATCACAACACTTCAAGCTGAGCTATCTATCGCTGGCCACGTTTGCCTTAGAACAAGGGAAAGACTACAGTTCTATAGTACAGCATTGTAGTCTTCCATGTATATCTTCCAGATGAAGCTTATCCTTCTCTGCTATGCCTTCACGAATACATGGTCAGCTGCAGCCAGTCTTCAATGGTCATTTTGATCTGTCCATCTCCATCCTGGTCCAGAGACTTGAAGGCCCGGAACATGCTGTCCAGTCGTACCAAGCAGCTAATGAAGTTGTTGAAATCCATGCTACCGTCCTCGTCAGCATACCTGCGCACGATTACCTGGCAGAGTTGTTCATTCAGGTGGAACCCTGCAGCCTTCAAGGCATCAGGCAGCTGAGCTCTCCCAACAGTGCCTGACTGATCGGTATCATACTGCTTGTATACACATTGCCATTTCTTGATGTTGTTCCACAGATACTTGAACTCTTCAAAGCCCAGTTTGCCATTTGTATCACTGTCCATGACAGCGACCATGCTACGGCACGTGTCTAAACTGAAGCCATCTGTCTTCAAGTCTTGATGTCTGGAAACGACTTTGTTCAGGATGTCCCTTAGCTCTGTGGCACACACTTCCATATCATCTCCAGCCAGCTGGACAAAAAGGCGACGAAACTGCCTGATCTCCTCACTCTCATAGGCTTCCACATTTGTAAAACGATTGTGAGGAGATGGAGGTGGCTCTGGATTATACTGAGCTGCTGCTTCACTTATAAGATTGACAAGACCTCCAACAAGTCCTCCAAGATTCCCTCCATGTCCACCTCCTGTTAGAAGACTTCCAAGGCCACGTGCAAGGCTCCCTCCATGACCACTACCACTTCCTCCACTCAGCAAAGCTTTAGCTAGGAACATCGTGAAGACTTTTTGAAAGGAGTTATACTCAGAGATCCAGTGCTTCTCTAACTCTCCAAAGCTGTCCTGTGTCTGAGCTGGGCGTGGGCAAAACACAGCTTATCTGCATGCTTAGACTTCACCATGTCTGTGCATGTCTCCACCTGCCAGAGTTACCTCACATCTCAGTAGTTTCTGTCAATTGTTGATACGCCTCTATTTCTTTTTTTCTTCTCTGCGTAGTTAGCCTTATGTGATTTGAGGAATATTTTTAGGAAAAAAAAAAAAAAAGCCAACGAGGCTGAAAGCCACAGAGCAGAAGTCTCAAAATACCTGTGCTCATAATTGAATCAATTTGAAAAGAGCCCTGCCACATTAGTGTGTCTATTCCTCAGTTAAGCTGATCTCCTTAAAGATGAATGCAGCAAAAGCTTACTGGAGTCTTGTCTGTTCTTGCAATCTTTTACGCCTTCAACTTCTTAGTGAGCTGAGCATTACATTGCTAATTCTAGTCACTGACGCTGTTGTGCCAGATAGAGAAAGTGAAAGGAGTCTTGATTGCCCTTAATTATTTTGGTTACCACACCATCTTTCTATTGTATGTACTGCTTCAGGACTCGGACTACATGTTCATAGGAGCCAATGGTCCAAGATGGGGAGGCAACAATGAAGAAAGGATGAGTACCTAGCTCTTCTAGAGCTTCAATGCATTCAGCAATCAAGGAAATACATTTGACTCTTCTCTATTTTAGAGGTTGTAAAACCTTTTTATCTGGAAAAATCCTGAAACAGTTTCAATAGGCATATAAACCACAATGACCTCCCAAGGACAGGTGTACTGCTAAAGCTAACTTGATCAGGAAGAGTGATGCTGAGCTAGGAGAGCTCCTATGATAAGAAACAAACTCCAGTTCATAAGCATGTGCAGTACAACATGCTGCTTGCACTGTAGCACATATTGGATGCCTAGAAGTAAGATGAATTCTATGCTACGCTCTAGTCACTGATGCTTCTGGTATAGTCAGAGGGGCACATCCACAGAGCAATTTTTCTCATCTTCAGAGAGAAGCAGAAAATGGGAGAGACCACCACTGACTACAGAGGAAAGCCTAAACAATCACATTAACACATACCCTCCTTTGTGGCTAGAGATAGGCAAGAGGAGTCCTTATAATGTCTAATAGCATCCTTCACAAACACAGCAGGAACATACACTCTAGTCAGCTTCAATCTGCCTTAAATTATCTACTTACAACTACATCAGTTAATTACGTTGTCTGAGTGTACATAAGCTCAAAATCTGGGGCAAGCAAAAGGAAATATTCAGCCATTACCAGCATGAAGATTATCACCTGATAGTGGTGCAGCAACTTGATCGAAGAGATGGCTGTCATCTCACAAGCTACAAACTGACCAACCTTTTTCCATCAAAACTTAGGGAGGAAACTGTAAGAGTCACTGTCTTGGTTTCAGCTGGGGTAGAGTTAATTTTCTTCCTAGTAGTAGGCATAGTGCTGTGTTTTGGATTTAGTAGGAGAAGAATGTTGATAACACGCGATTGTTGCTCGGGGACTGACTGGGTATCTGTCGGGTGGTGAGCAATTGCATTGTGCATCACTTGCTTTG